TGTTACAAACTTGAATTAAAAAATTATAAATTTTAAAATTAATTCTATTGTAATGTTTTTGTACTTGATACGGTTCAATTTTACAAAAATTTTGATCAATCGTGTTCAAAGTCCTTCTCCTTCAAATCCCAATCCAGCGGAATTTTATACCAGCTTTAAAGATTCAGTCTTCGTTCGTAAATAACAATTTCATTGTATTAAGGGTAACGGTAGTAGAAAATCAGCCGTGGAGTTCGCCATTTTTTTACAAATGGCATCTATGTAAAAAAAGCATGGTGGTCCCCATGATTGATGTTCTCCTACCGTTCCACTTAAATAGTTTAATAAAATGTAACATAACAAAGACGTTAGCCACAGCAACGCGTGGCCGGGTCTGCTAGTTAAATTATATATTTAATTTATATTTTAATTTCAAAAGAAAAAAGTTTATTAGCTTTTATGTAAGTAGCTACTATGTGTGTTGTGTATCAATGTTAGGCAATTTTATAATTCAGTTTTCACCTACTTCTGCGTCTGAATAATCTGAAATTTTGCAGACTATAGGAACTGATACTATGGTACTTTTTACGTGGTAGAGCCATGCTACAGCACGAATGAGTTGGCTCGACCGGGGTGGGACCACACTTTCACAGAATACCATCGTAAAATAGCAGTTTAATGGTGCTGTGAGTGAAGAAAACCGGAGACCCTTTTTTACTGGAAACGAAGCATTCCATCTCAGCGATCAGGGCTGGCAACGTATCTGCATTTAGATTTTTAATTGAAGATAAATGTAGATATCTATGGACCACAGCATCCACTTAACATCAAGTGGTCTGTGTGCTCGTTTGTCACCCTTATACTATAAAAAAATATAATTTTACGACTATGACCTAGTATTCACACTAGGATGTCCACACTAGGATGCTCACGTGGGTGATTTTTAAGTTTTATCAAAGTCTATTAATATTCTACACAAAGAATTGTATCACTATCGACGAAGATTTATTCTTGACAAGTATTAAAAAAAATACAATACGTAATCTGTACTTGATTGTAGTGCACTCTTTGATATATGATTAGCCGTTGTGTATAAAGTCAGTGGGTCAGGGGACATGACGGTGGCCATATTGGGACGTCAAGATTATTTGCGCAAGTCTCTCATGAGTCCGAGAAACTCCGAGGTAAACATTGAGTTACATTGAAATGAGCATATTATTTATTTGTTGTTATTTTTAAATCCTTTATAGCTTTTTTTTAAACGTTACCCCTACACTAAGATTTTCTCTTGTATCGTGGGGCAGTTTACAAACATAAATTGCACAAGGACAAACATCCAGACCCGGAACAACTATATGTAGGCCATACAAATACTTGTTCCGTGCGGGATTCGAACCCGCGGCCCCCAGTACAGCCACTCATTGCTAAGCCACTGCGCCACGGAGTCGTTGAAACAAGTAGAGGTGTGCCAACAATAAAATTATCGACGCATATATAAATGATCAATTTATTCGAGGGAAATATTTATATTTAAAATTTATTATCAGACATCTCGAGCTTATAATAATAATAATGTCCTCCAGACCGAATTTCGGTCACGGCAGCCGGCCTCAGCGTAGACTAGCCATCGGCGAAGGATAGGATTATAGTGCACAAGTGTATACACGCAAGCACAGATCTCTAGATACTCAGCACAAAATCCGATGAGGAGAGGGAGACACCGTCAACTTCCTGACTTCGGGCAGCTACTGAGAATTTCTTGACGGAAAAACTGAATAAAATTGACGTTTTGGCCCAACCGGGGATTCGATTCCAGGACCTCATGATCAGTAGTCGCATTAATACAACTACTAGACTAACGAAGCAGTCACATATAATAATAAAAATATTTCTTATTTCTACCACCAAAGCCGTGGTAGCTCAGTGGTTAACGCTCGCTGTAAATATAACAGAACGCGAGTAACCAGGGTTCGATCCCCGCCGGCACCAATGAAATTGTTAATTGCAATTTTAAGTGCTGATTTACCACGTGCTCGGCGGTGAAGGAAAACATCGTGAGGAAACCTGCATGTCTGAGGAGTAAGAAAAAAAATATTGCGAAGACATGTGAAGTTCGTCAACACGCATTTGGGCAGCGCGGCGGACACTTCCTTGCCCTAAAACCCTCTCAGAAATGAGGGGAGGCTTGAGCCCAGCAGTGGGACCTATATAGGCTGTAACTTTACTTTTTACTTTTCTACCACCAAATTGTTTTGCTTGCACTGCTTTTTTCTGGTCTAAAGGGTATAAAGAGCTAGTATATTTAATTTTACAGGCTGTAAGACATTGCATTGCATCGTAGCCCGCAAATAAAGCATCTGGAGATTTCCTTGTTTGAAGTTGGCTGTATGGGCCACGAACTGTAGTAGTCATTTAACATCAGATAGACTGTGACTTCATTTGTCGCTTAAGTTTCATAAAAATAATATTAAAACTATAAATATTTTAAAGGCAATATAGTTTCGGTATAAAAGTGATACGAAAACGCATAATTAAATATTTCATGTGTTTGGTTATTTTTAACTGAATGTAATCAGTTATTATATATTGATATTTAAGTTCCATAATAAATATCCCAGAACCGCAGGTAAGCTTCATATTTAATTTTCAGCGTGGCAAAACCCATATTTTACTCCACAGTCCGCTTCCCTAGAATATAATTAAAATAAAACGGAAGTTAAATTAAATCTGGTTATTTTTTATCGTGACCACATACAAAATCGACATCCGGACGTCCACGCAATTTTTTTCAAATCGTTTTCTTCAAAGTAGCAATATAAAATGATGTTTTAGAAAATATAAGATGGCTTAATTACTTATTTTCTTGATATACGGCTACTCATATTATCGAATAAGTGCAATATGGTTATGATAGAGGTATTTTTTTATACGTGGTAGAGCCACGCTGCAGCTATATTAAGGTTGTAGCACAATTGGGTCGGCTCAACCGGGGAAGGACCACGCTCTCACAGTATACCAGCGTAAAGTGGCTTGATGCTGCTGTGTTTCGTATGTAATCGAGTGTAGAGATGCGGATACCCTTTTTTACTGGAAACGAGGCATTCCATCCTAGTCCTCAGGGGTGACAACGCATCACAGCATCCACCTACTTATGTGTTCGTTTATCAACCTTATTTTATAAAAAAAATATTTGCTTGACCTTGAAGTGTCGAAAGTAAAGGACTACCAAATATCGCATCGCGTTATGAGGCGTGCAAAAATATTGAAAATAAAAAAAATAGGCTGATTGCGTTTATATCCTTTATGTTTTCTGTAAAAATCGTTAGGTAGGTAATAAATAAATTTAAATATTTAGACATTCATTTCTTTAGATGAAAATAACAGACCAACGGCCTATATTGCGGATTAAAGGTCTAATGAGCCAAACATCTGTTGTTAATCTCCATTGGTCCTGTTTAATCCATTCCGTCGTCCCATTTGAACCACTCACCATATGATTAAGACCACGAAATGGATATAAGCGTGAACTCTCTCTATGATTTAGTTCGCAATCGTCAATTAAAGTTTCCTTGTTTATTATTTTTTTCCCATTTGAGGTACGTAGTAATAATATATGTTCTTTGTCTGAGTGTTCAACATTCTTTTGTGATTGTATTAGCAGATTATTACGGATTACAGAGTATGAGGGGTCGTGGTAGCTTCAGAGGCTAGATCACTTCTTTAATTTAATAGTATGAAAGCAAGTAGTCCTTCACTGCTGGCCGTACTGAGGACCGGCCGAGGACGCTCAAAGTCGCTCAGCGAAATATGGAGAGGGCTATACTCGGGGTTTCTCTGCGTGATAAACTTAGAAATGAGGATATCCGCAGTAGAAACAGAGTGACCGATATAGCCCAACGGATTAGTAAGCTGAAGTGGCAATGGGCCGGCCATATAGCTCGAAGAACCGACAACCGTTGGAGAAAAAAGATTCTCGAGTGGTAGCCTCGTACCGGTAGGCGAAGTGTATGGCGACTCCCTACTAGATGGGGTGACGACCTGGTAAGACATGCAGGAAGTCGATGGATGCAGGCGGCTCAGGACCGTGATTTGTGGCATACCTTGGGGGAGGCCTATGTTCAGCAGTAGACTTGTGAAGGGCTGTAATGATGATGATGATGAGTCAATTGTCCAAGACCAAGAGAATTTAAACCTAATTTATTGTAATTTTTTATAGAATATGGGTGACAACTGAGCACTCAGCCTACCTGATGGTAAGTGGATGCTGCGGCCCATGACATTTACATTTATACTTTATTAAAAATCAAAATGCAGATTTAATATAGAACAAGGATGACAACTAATATACTTTTCACCTGATCTATTTTCTGGATGTTAGCGCTGTTAGTCTATACGACTCTTACAGCTTCATCTGACTCAGGGCTCGCGGCCTGCAAGGCTACGCGAGCCACTATTCCACCTGATGGTAAGTGGACGCTATGGCCCATAGACATCTGAGGACTGAGCTGGAATGCCTCGTTACCCATAAAAGGGCTCGCAGTTCTCTACACTAACCATACGAAACAGCATTATTCTGCTTTTTACGCTGGTATTGTATGAGAGCGTGATCCTACTTCGTTTGAACTGGCCCATTCATGCAGCATCCATTATGTAGTTGCAGCATAGCGCTACCGAGTAAAGTTCGTAAAGCTCGGTTAGTAATCTAGCCGTGTAGTGGCCGCGTAAAAGGATTCACTACCTCATACTATTCTGTAGGTATCGTAAAGAGGCAACAGAGGCTAATGAAACGGAGATGAGCAGTAGCATCCTCCTGAAAAATAAAGAGGCAACAGAGGCTAATGAAACGGAGATGAGCAGTAGCATCCTCCTGAAAAATAAAGAGGCAACAGAGGCTAATGAAACGGAGATGAGCAGTTGCATCCTCCTGAAAAATAAAGAGGCAACAGAGGCTAATGAAACGGAGATGAGCAGTAGCGACCTCCTCGAAAAATAAAGAGGCAACAGAGGCTAATGAAACGGAGATGAGCAGTTGCATCCTCCTGAAAAATAAAGAGGCAACAGAGGCTAATGAAACGGAGATGAGCAGTAGCATCCTCCTGAAAAATAAAGAGGCAACAGAGGCTAATGAAACGGAGATGAGCAGTAGCATCCTCCTGAAAAATAAAGAGGCAACAGAGGCTAATGAAACGGAGATGAGCAGTAGCATCCTCCTGAAAAATAAAGAGGCAACAGAGGCTAATGAAACGCAGATGAGCAGTTGCATCCTCCTGAAAAATAAAGAGGCAACAGAGGCTAATGAAACGGAGATGAGCAGTTGCATTCTCCTGAAAAATAAAGAGGCAACAGAGGCTAATGAAACGGAGATGAGCAGTTGCATCCTCCTGAAAAATAAAGAGGCAACAGAGGCTAATGAAACGGAGATGAGCAGTTGCATCCTCCTGAAAAATAAAGAGGCAACAGAGGCTAATGAAACGGAGATGAGCAGTAGCATCCTCCTGAAAAATAAAGAGGCAACAGAGGCTAATGAAACGGAGATGAGCAGTAGCATCCTCCTGAAAAATAAAGAGGCAACAGAGGCTAATGAAACGGAGATGAGCAGTAGCATCCTCCTGAAAAATAAAGAGGCAACAGAGGCTAATGAAACGGAGATGAGCAGTAGCATCCTCCTGAAAAATAAAGAGGCAACAGAGGCTAATGAAACGGAGATGAGCAGTAGCATCCTCCTGAAAAATAAAGAGGCAACAGAGGCTAATGAAACGGAGATGAGCAGTAGCATCCTCCTGAAAAATAAAGAGGCAACAGAGGCTAATGAAACGGAGATGAGCAGTAGCATCCTCCTGAAAAATAAAGAGGCAACAGAGGCTAATGAAACGGAGATGAGCAGTAGCATCCTCCTGAAAAATAAAGAGGCAACAGAGGCTAATGAAACGGAGATGAGCAGTAGCATCCTCCTGAAAAATAAAGAGGCAACAGAGGCTAATGAAACGGAGATGAGCAGTAGCATCCTCCTGAAAAATAAAGAGGCAACAGAGGCTAATGAAACGGAGATGAGCAGTAGCATCCTCCTGAAAAATACTTAAAATATCAAAAAATTTGCGGCTGCCAACCCGTTAGACCAGCGTGGTAAGTTTAATTATCTAGGTTTAGAATAAGAGTGACAAGCAATCGCTCAGTGGTGTACTGTATTTTGTGTGCTACTGCAGTCTATGGACATCTGCGAAAAAATTCAAACAACAAAGGCTAGAGATGCGTTGTCACCTCTGAGTAGAATATTTGTAAAGTTTTTATAGAATATATGTACAATAAAAAAAATTCATTTTTATTTTGTTTTTTGTTTTGAAATTTTATATTGCTACACCTACGTTAAATTCTCACCACTATATGGGTTGACACCGTCAGCCGCCACAAAAGTTGTATTCTTTTGTTTTGAGGAATGCAATAAAGAATAAATAAATCCAATATTGTGCAAAGGTTATATGCATAGTACAATTAACTTACAGTAGATGGCGTGCGTATCGAACCGACAAATTTATTTGAAAGTTAATTTATATCATTCAATTACAATGAATGTATAATCGTTTCTCATTAAACAATATAACCATTCTAAAAAAAAAAACGATATTTACACAATTATTTCCTTTGCGGCCGCAACACGCAGGTAAATATATAAAAAATATCAAATTATTAAAGCATTTGTGCTTTGGATCTTTTATTTGTAGGATAAGGCACTGAGTATTTTATGCAAAATGCTTAGGTTCAGTGCAGTGACATCATGCGTCCATTCTTTGCAGGAACCACCCACGCTTTCAACCCGAGAATTGACATCGGAAAGATCGGATAAATTGCAGTGGTTTTAGGTCACGGACATATTAAACGACAATGAAAATTTTAATGCAACACGAATATGTCAGCCATAACCCGTATAGAAAGAAAATTCTTTTTATTTAAAAAAAAAACATTACCTCTACACTAGGATTTTCTCGTGTATCGTGGAGAAAATCCTAGTGTGGAGTTTACTCGTACGTACATAAATTTCACAAGTCAGACATCCAGACCCGAAACAATTATTCAGGAAATACAAATACTTGTTCCGGTACTTATAATGATGTACATAAAATATGTTGTCATAAACAATAACAGTATTTTAAAAAAAAACCTACCATTTGAATTATAATGTGGAAGGTTTCAAGTTAGCAGTATTTATTTCTTGTTTATCCATTTATTAGATCTACTCGTAATATTATATAACAACTGAGATGATGATATCAAGTTAAGTAGATTAAGCGTGGGCAAGGTTTAGCGGGCGGCTTACTATTCAATGAACAAATTATGACGTCACTTGTAGGTTATATCGCAATTATCAAGTCGTAGATCCAGTCGAGGCTTTAAAAGCTTGAATATAAAAATGTTTATTGTCTATACCTTTAGAGTATATCTTACAGTATAAGTACATAGCTTATTTATGTATACTCTAAGTCTACACCGTATTTTTATTTAAACAAAAACCATATACCTCAACAAAGACATTGTAGAAATGCACTATTTATTTAACAAAGAACTTTAGTATCATCGAGCGGAACCAGGGCTCCAAAGTCTTTGCCAGAGATCTGTCTGCCCGTAAGAGCCAACTGTCAAGGCTGAAGACTGAGTGTGGCAGCATCGTTTCCGGGACACCTGAGATTTTGAGTGAGATTGAGAGGTTCTATGGGCAGCTGTACACATCATCGTTGGAGCCACACGCAAGTGTGAGTAACGATCCAAGAGCAAGTCTTATCCGACACTATTCCGATGATATCCCGGACGTCAGTCTGAGCGAGATTAGAATGGCTCTCCAGCACCTTAAAAACGGCAGGGCCCCAGGCGAGGATGGAATTTACAGCGGAGCTTCTGAAAGCGGGTGGAACACCGGTACTTGAAGTCCTTCAGAAGCTCTTCAATTCCGTCCTCCATGGTGGCACCACTCCAGAGGCGTGGAGCAGAAGTGCGGTGGTCTTGTTCTTTAAGAAAGGCGACAACGCTCTCTTGAAGAACTACAGACCGATTTCCCTTCTGAGCCGCGTCTACGTGCTGTTTTCGAGCGGTGTCGAAATTTGGGCGGTGCTGCAGTCCCTTCAGCGGTGCCAAGTTGACTGTCGGTATATCGAAGTGCTGAAGTGTTTGTACAGTAGGGCTACGATGGCTATCCGAGTACAGAACCAGAGCTCGAAACCTATCTAACTGCAGAGAGGTGTAAGACAGGGTGACGTTATATCCCCGAAACACTTCACCGCTGCTTTGGAAGACGTTTTCAAGCTACTGGACTGGAAAGGATACGGTATTAACATCAATGGCGAGTACATCACTCACCTTCGATTTGCCGACGATATAGTCCTTATGGCAGAATCGCTGGAGGACTTAAGCACTATGCTCAATGACCTCAATAGTGCCTCCCAACGGATAGGTCTTAAGATGAACATGGACAAAACAAAGATCATGTTTAATGTCCATGTCACACCTATGCCGGTAGTTGTTGGGAGCACTATGCTCGAAGTTGTTGACGAGTACGTTTACCTGGGACAAAGAGTCCGACTAGGTAAGTTCAACTTCGACCGAGAGGTCAATCGACGGATTCAACTCGGCTGGGCAGCGTTCGGGAAATTACGACACATCTTCTCGTCAGGTATACCTCAATCTCTGAAAACTAAAGTGTACAACCAGTGCGTGTTGCCAGTGATGACTTACGGATCAGAGACGTGGTCCTTCACTGCTGGCCGTATGAGGACGCTCAAGGTCGCTCAGCGAGCTATGGAGAGGGCTATGCTCGGAGTTTCTCTGCGTGATAGACTCAGAAATGAGGATATCCGCAGTAAAACCAGAGTGACCGACATAGCCCAACGGATTAGTAAGCTGAAGTGGCAATGGGCCGGCCATATAGCTCGAAGAACCGATAACCGATGGGGAAGAAAGGTTCTCGAGTGGCAGCCTCGTACCGGTAGGCGTAGTGTAGGGCGACCCCCCACTAGATGGAGTGACGACCTGGTAAGATATGCAGGAAGTCGATGGATGCAGGTGGCTCAGGACCGTGCTTTGTGGCATTACTTGGGGGAGGCCTATGTTCAGCAGTGGACTTGTGAAGCTAATGATAATGATGATGATGATGATGATTTAGTATCATGTGAAGATTTTTTCGAAGAAGGTTTTTGGGTGTAATACGTCATTATCATCATTACAGGCCTTTACAAGTCCACTCCTGACGTGGTCTTCCCCTAAGGAATACCACAAAACACGTTCCAGCGCCAATTGCATCCATCGACTTCGTGCAGTGTTACCACGTTGTCGCTCCTTCTAGTAGGGGGCTGTTTTACACTTCGCTTTTCGGTACGAGGCTGCAAATAGATAACCTTTTTTTCCCACCGATTCTTCGAGCAATCGGCCGGTCCTTTTCCAATTCAGTTTGATAATCTGTTGCATACAACAACAGGATATTAAATATATAAGTATATTTAATATCCTGTTGTTATATGCAACATATGTAAGGTAATTAACGCACCTTCAGACACCCCAATTAGTATACAAATAACACTGCACTTTTAAAAGTCTTATTGCCGTAAGTTACTGTCTATTTCAGTTTGTTTTGACTGTACAGATTTAGTGTGACTGTAATTTACATAGTTTTTATTATTTTTGGAATAAAAAATTACCTATATTAAAGATGATAGGAATCGATTTAGTAAACGATTCTGAACAAACTACTTTCTCAAAGCGCGTTAATTATGTTACATGTCGTATATATATATATATATATATATATATATATATATATATATATATATATATATATATATATATATATATAATAACCGTTGTAATCGTAAACCGATAACAAGAAACATATTATATTGGTGGTATAAAACGAAACTTGTCTCAGAGCTCACTGGTTTCACAACTTTGGTTTGGTTAGAGAGGATGTTGTTATAGTTTAGCATACTTGATGAGAAAACTGAATAAACAAAATGGGTTAATCCAATTTTTTCATCAAGTACAGAGTCATTGAAAATGTGTAAGATGCTGTAAAATATGTTCGAATTGAGGAGTTAACGTGTTAATTTTTATCTGTTTTCTATATTTCGTTTAGAATAATATAGATATATATATATGTTATCGAAAATCGAGAGACAACCAAGCACACGGTCAACCTAAGGGCCTAAAGCGGGCTACATACGAGATGATATCGGTGGCGATCTAGGGTGGAAAGAAATCGGGGCTTTTATCGGGGCAGACCCTACACACGAGCCTGCCTATCAGTACGCGTTCGGACTTGGAGCGGAACGCATATGCGGTAGAGTTCTTCAAAATGCCTCCGACTCTCTTAAAATACCAATGTGTTGGTTTGGTATTAGCCCTCTCGGTTAATTTATTCGAAAATAGAAAAAGAGGAGTTGCTGGGTGAAAAAATGACTCCAAAAGAGACAAAAATTAAGCCACGTAAACGTACTAAATGGTCTGTAATCCAAAGACATGGTTAATTTTCTCCGGATGGATGAAGACAGTTTTTACAACTTTCTAGAAATGATTTCGCCACTTATATCAAAACATCAATTTCTCCTACCTATGCTATTTAGTTATTTCTTCTCTTTGTTCATTTTTGCTTGGTCAAAATCGGGTTATGTACTACAGACAACAAACAAAGATATAAAATACTTTTCTATAATAATATGTATATTTTTTTAATGTAATCTTTATTTATGGACTAAAACTATCAATAAATAAGAAGAAGAGGGACGACAACTAGAACTAGAAGGAGTGACAACCTGGTAACACTGCACGAAGTCGATGGATGCAATTGGCGCTGGAACGTTTTTTGTGGTATTCCTTAGGGGAAGACCACGTCAGGAGTGGACTTGTAAAGGCCTGTAATGATGATAATGACGTATTACACCCAAAAACCTTCTTTGAAAAAATCTTCACATGATACTAAAGTTCTTTGTTAAATAAATAGTGCATTTCTACAATGTCTT